CTATTCAAGCCTTGAAAACGACGTAGCGCGAGAATTCTGGTCTTCTAGCGACAGACTCGCCGTTTCCGCCCCTAACACCACATACTCAATAGCAAGTAAGTTTTGTAACAAATTTTTATAGTAAATCATGATAGAAATCATGGCCATGAATACTATGCCACCGCAATAGCACATAAATTTTATAACAAAAATTTACAGTAAATCATGATAGAAATCACGACTTTAATTCCATTACAAACCAACATGACATTTGTGTCTCACTGCTATAGTAAGTAAGTCTTGTAATGAAGTTTTTGAAGTGATCATGTATAATCACGACCGTCAATTCCAATACAAACCAACTCAACCACATTTTGTGTATCCCCAGTTTTTAAAATTCAGATCGAAACCTGCATGCCAACACAAGCTAATAAAACCTTAACCACATACTGTGCTTACGCAATTATCATAATACTGTAGAATTCATGTTCGTGCGTCATGACAGCATGTTTTCGTAACAAAATTTTTTTATGACAGTAATTCCAACGCAACTAACTCAAATTTAAACAAATACTGTGCATCGGCATTTTAATTTGTAAATTTTTGTAACAAAACTTTTTACTATAAGTTATGATAAATATAATGACTATAATTTCAATGCATACCGTATTCAGTGTTTAATATTCAAAAAAAATCATTTGCACAAATGTATTTTGTGCAACCTTTTTGAAAAGCTTGCACACTTAAGAGATTTTTTAAAAATCCAAAAAAACACTTGCACATGTGCATCTTGTGCAAACCAAATTTAAACCTTGACCGTATTCACCATAATAAATAAAAAATAAAAAAATTACATTAATTTGCCTAATTATATTTCGCATGGCTCACTGATTTGCACGATGTGTATCTTGTAAATATTTCAGCGATTAATAACAAATACTGTAAAATATGTATTAAAAAATATAAACTTTCTATCCTGTATTCTCTATATTATCCACAGGCCCATAATATTCATACCACTTCCCTTCCTTAAAACCCCATGCTTCATAGAACCAGTTTTTGTAGGTATACCGCAAAGTTTGATTCCAGATCTGTTCTTTCTCCCAGCATTTTGGAATAATCTCCCTCTTTGTAACCAGGCCATTGGTCGTTGAATTCTGAATGAATCTGAGCATTGGCAATCCCTCTTCGTATTCGAAGTACACATCCTTCATGGCATTCCATCTCTCAACGCCTTTTATTTGATGGATCAATATGGCTTCGACAGGTAAATGGAGGTCCAGATCCACGTTAAAGTCATGGAAAGGATTTTGGCGGATGGACCGCCAGTTTGAAAAGCCGACATAGTGTACAAAGTACTTCTTCTCTTTAGCCACATGACATATCCAATCACCCACTAGAATGTCTTCATAACCAATTACATTTAAACTAACCCAGTCTGAACCAGCAATGTCTATAACGAGGTCGTAAGAGAGTGTGAATCCCGCACCTTTTTCGAGTTTAAGAAAATAGATCAAAGAGTGCATGAAGCTTTAGGGTGGTGCCTCAATTAATAAAACATAATCGAGTAAGATCATTAATTTCGGATTTAATAATGGTTAAATTTCGATATTATTGTTAATCAATCTATTCGATGATTTAACTAGATGAAAATAAAAATAATTACAAAATTAAATTTACATTTATTGGCACAAATACCTAACGAAAGTGTGTATAATTTCTTTTAATTTGAAGCTCCCAACTAGCTTTACATGGTAATAGAGCTACTTTTTCTTCAATAGTTTATAAAAAATCATTCAATTATTATATATATTACAAAAATTAATTAATTCTTACGAATTTTTCAAGAAAATATTTTAAAAAATAGCACTTTTACCATATAGAGCTTCAAGTTAAAAAAAAATTATATACATCTTTGTTTGATACTTGTGCTAATAAATATAAATCTATATAATATTTAAATATAAGGCCTATAAAAAATCCGAAATTAATAATCTTTTATACATTATCCTAACTATGTTTTAATTAGTTGAGGCGCCACCCTAATGAAGTGTTGATGATAAAATGGAATAAGAAACCTACCTCCCATATACGAGTATGTAGCATGATAACCTAGATCATTGCCAAAGTACACACTGCCGTAGTACGCACGTTTTCTCGGCAAGTCTTGAAGGTCACGATAGTAGTGAATAAGGTGAATGAAAGCGTCATCGTCGATTTTGGCTAGATAATTATCTTTTCTCTAAGCGTATTCAAAATAATGAGTGCTTATTGACGTGCACAACTTCATAACAAAACAAGAATATTCACATGTTTAGCAAGCCATTTGAAATATTCAAACGTCTTTCCTTTGTCCATGTTCTCTGTGATATTCAAAATAACAATATCCCCGTAAATTTTAGATTCTTCCTCCAGTTTATCTTTATATTCATCATTTGGCAGTCCCAGGATAAACCTAATCGTCACGGGCGATTTTTTGACTCCGAGATACCGTGCCAAAGCGTCATTATTGTGTGTATACAACTTGCGAATGCATTCCCTAACCTCAATTTTCTCATAAATGGTCGAAATCCCGATGAAGATCGTTAAGTTCTGGTCCACGCCCGGAGGAGGTCTGATATAGGTATCATTTATGATGTGTAAATTAGAATCTAAGGGCTGAGGGTAGTATGAAAAATAGTAAAGTAAGCAGAGACCGAAACCTATTATGACGGGAGAGGCGTAGTATTTTCTGAGCATTTTTAAAATTTAAAAAGTCTTTAAGGTGTTTACATACGTATCAGCCATTTATAGCAATTTCTAGATTAGCATGCAAGTGATGAACCGTTGTACATGTACAATATAATGAACTATCGAGTGAATTATAATGGAATCAAATTACAGTATGATTAACATAATACCTGATATATCAAACTTGCTGTATGAATTGGGATTTGAGACAAAATTATAACTATTTGGACGTAGGGATGTTATTGGTCCTAACTAGTCCCAACTGGTCCTAGTTGAATTGCAAAATTTTACAATGATTTTTTCTTTATAAGCTATTAATAAAGGTTGTGTAAAATAATTTTTTCAACATATT